TTGCTTTGGTCCTAACCCCACCTTGCTACTTTTCTATTTCTTCCTTTGGGAATGAAATTGCTTACTCTGTGCCATACTTCCTAAGGATAATTTTCCTTCTGATTTTACAAGGACTCACAACTGAGTTTGCTTCCCTCTCAAATATTTTAGTCCTGGACTTTTGAACAATGTCAGAACTGTAAAGCCTGTGAGAACTCTGGAGGTGGTCTGTATAATTGTAATTTCAGATGGACATAAGTCTTATGGAGACCAGGGATGGAATTTCAAGTTTTTTTTTAATTTTAATCTCTCTCCCTATAGTGAGTCATTGTGTGTGTGTCTGTAGGATCACATGTCACAGCATACATGTGAAGGGTTGTTTTTTGCTGTTTTCCTGAATATATCATATGTGAGCTTCTAAGGTTTCTCATCTACACCTACCATCTCAGTACTGGTATGTAACATAAGGGGCCTGCTCGTTGGGGTTTCTGTCCCGCCTAGTACCCCACAACCGGCAAGTCCCAAAGAAAATCACACAGAGTTCTCCATAAGTTATAAAACTGATTGGCCCATTAGCTCAGGCTACTTATTAGCTCTTGTAGCTTATATTAACCCATTATTCTTATCTATGTTAGCCACATGGCTCGGTACCTTTCGCAGCAGGGCACTTCACATCTTGCTTTTTCGGTGGTCTGGGCAGGAGTGTGAAGGGAGCTTCCTGCTTCTCAGAATACTCCTGTTCTCATCGCCCCACCTCCACTTCCTGTCTGGTTGACCCACCTATACTTCCTGCCTGGCCAATCAGCGTTTATTTAAAACATGATTGACAGAATACAGACAATTCTCCCGCACTGGTACAGATAAGCACCTCCTCATCTGGCTTCACGTGGCTTTTAGGGATCTGAATTCAGCTTCTCAGACTTGTGTGGCAAGCACTTTTACCCATTGAGCTATCTTCCCAGTCCAAATGTATGGCTTAAAGAGATGTGTTTGGGTGTCAAGTTAACAAGAGGTGGACTTGTAAGGGTTAATCTTGATTGACAACTTGATTGAACTGAGAAGTACTAAGGATATTAGTAAAGTGCACCTCTGAGTATATCTGTGAGGACATGAGCATGGGTATTTTCTCTGCTTCCTCAATACAATGAAGTCAGCTGACCTGTTCCACCATGCCCTCCGTTCCACAGTGGGTGAAAACCTCAAAACTGTGAAACAAAATGTTTCCTTCTTTATTTTTCTCCTATTTATTGCAGATACACAATGTCTGCATAACATACAGGGTAATATGCACATTGACTTTTATTACTTTTTCATTTAGAATATTTATTTTTAATTATTTAATTAGAGTGAAATATTTCCACTGACCTCTGAAGCTAATAGAGAACACAGAATTAGTTAGGGTTAATAAAATAGCAACTTCTCTTGAAACTACCTGCTCATGTCTACACATTCTCTTCATAATACTTGAAATTTGCATAAGTATCTGTTTCCACAGGTTTTTGCTTCTACTATATGGTAAACTTAAAAGTGAAGAGATATTTCTCTTTCGTTTACTGCTGATTTTTTTTTAAAAAAAACATGGTTTCTTTGTGTAGCCTTGGCTGTCCTAGAACTAGCTCTGTAGACCAGGCTGGCCTTAGATCCAACTGTCTCTGCTTTCCAAGTGCTGGGTACAGAACCACCGCCCAGCGCTACTACTGAATCTTTATCCCATGACAGTATAACATGGAAAATGCTTAGCAAGTATTGAAAGAGCATATGCAGCTATTACAATAACTTATCATTCAAAGATTCCAAGAGATTGTTTTGAATAATTTACTACATGTATGATTGGTTTGCCAGCATTTATGTCTGTGCATCACGTGTGAGTCTGGTGTCCTTGGAGGTCAGAAGGGGGCACTGGATCCCCTGGAACTGCAGCTATGAATGGTAGTGAGTGGCTATGTGGGTGCTGAGAACTAAACCTGAGGTCTTCGGCAAGTGCTCTTAAACACTGAGCCATTTCTCCAGTTCATCAGCCCTAAATATGTTGAGTTTATTAAATGTCACGGAAGTTCAACAGAAAGGAAGTCCCAATCCAGTTTACCATGTAATTCTGCATCTGGGTGATTTTTGAATCAAACATCATTATCAGTATGTATCACACTTTTCTCTTTGGTTTTTCTTTTCCTTACTTTTCTTCCCTCATCTCTGCCTTACTAGTCATTGAAAAATGTTAATAAAACTATTTTTAGATACTATATAAGCTAAAATACTTAGTGGACCAAGAAAAAAGAAAATTTATAAACGTGCTCCATAACATACAACACAAGCAGAAAACTGCAGACAAATATTAACAAAAATATAGTATTGAGGGCTGGAGAGATGGCTCAGCGGTTAAAAGCATTGCCTGCTCTTCCAAAGGTCCTGAGTTCAATTCCCAGCAACCATATGGTGGCTCACAACCAGGTCTGATGCCCTCTTCTGGCCTGCAGGCATACATGTAGACAGAATGTAGTATACATAATAAATAAATAAATAAAACAAAAATATAGTATTGAGATGATCCTATGATTAGATAAGGAAAACAATGCAACCTTATCTTTCAAGGCAAGTATTTTGAAATGGAAGAAAGTAAAAGAAAAGAAAAGAAAAGGAAGTGTAAAGAGATAAATGAGGGTTAGAGATGGGTCAGTGGTTACAGCCCTGTCTGCTCTTCCAAAGGACCCAGGTTCAGTTCCCGTCACCCACATGGCAGCTCACATTATTAGTAACTCAAGTTCCAGGGGATCTAGCACCTTCTTCTGACTTCCATGGGCACCAGACACGTAGACAGTCAGTAAACTATATACATGCAGGCAAAACAAACACACAAAATTTAATTTTTTAACAGATTAATGATCTGGGTGTGGTTGTACATGCTTGAAACCCTAGTTATTCTGTTGACAAACACAGGCAGATGATAAGACCCAGGCCAGCCTGAGCAATTAAGGAAAATCCTCTTTCAAAATAAAATAAAAAATTGGGGATGTAGTTCAGTTGGTAGGGTTCTTGCCTAGAATACATGAAGTCCTGGATTTGAACCCTAGTATGGCATAAAAATGGTGGTTGACACCTGTAATTATAGCACCTGGGAGGCTGAGGAAGAAGGATTACTGGGACTTCAAGAGCAGCCTGAATTACATACAGAGTTAAGTCTGCCTCTAGACAATAAAGCAGTATCATCCATATGTATTCTTGATAAAGTTGTGTAGTTCACAAAGAACTTCTTGCTCAGCACCTAAATGAAACTTAAACTCCATGATCAGAACTAAGTCAGCCATGTAACACTTACATACTTTGAAAAACCAATAGTTTATCATGGCACACACATTTAGGCAAAATACTCTACACACAAAAATAAGTATACTTTAAAATGTTTAAATAACCCATGACTGTCACATTTTAATGCAGCCTTATGTATAAATTGCTACCTAAAATTGTCTAAATTATACAACTTTCACTACTAGCATGACATTTAAAGATATATAAAATTCTACGTAATTGAGCTCAATTTGCTCAGTTTTCCTGAGGTATTAAAATAGCCACTACTTAACAATAAAAATCTAAAGTCATAAACAATACAGAATTCACTCAATGATATACATGTGAATATACATGTTCTCTAAGCAAGCGCCCTACTCATGATCTGTTTCAATTTCAAATTACAAAATTAATGAAGTTATGTATAAGCCTCAATGTCTTTTATGTGTCCAAAACTGAAAGAGAAAAATCAGTTTCTATCATTCCATTATAAAGTTAAACTATTAGAGAAATTTCCTCTGTAATCATGCTTCAACCATTCCTTTTGGTGTCTTCCTAAAAAAAAACATCATACAGGAAATACAAACTTCTGTACTAAAGATTTTTTTCACTAGTTTTAATTTTTAATAGACCACAATCCAAATCGGGATAGATTCTCCAAGACGTCATATTGTTACATCTGTCACTATCACAGCTTCTTTAAAGAGGCAAGACACAAAGTATTCAACCCACTCAACACTTTTAAAATCCTCCTTTTTTTAATCCCTTAATGAATGTTATTCTAGTCCACTTAGTTAAAAGAAAACAGATACCTCTTTGCAGTCTATCCTCAAGTCCATGTTTAATGTCAAGGCAACTGTTAATGGCTCAAAACCAAACACTGTTAACAAAACACAGCCAGGATCCTCCTATTTGAGAGTCTGAGTACAAACATATGCCCATTCATAATATACTCTCACGCAATTCAACTCTACTAAATAACCATTTCCCATCATACGTAGGTTAAGATAAAATTCTCTTCTTTAATAGTCAAAGGACAGCTTCCAAAGACAGAGGAGAGAAGCCTATCAACTTTAATCTAAAGCAAAGTACAACTCAATGTCATTTTTACCTCTAAGGCAGCGCCACAACGGAAACAAAATGAACTTCACTGGAAGATCAAGTATCCTAGCACCCCCATGATTATTTACTTCTCTGACTCGACAGTACGTATACGTAGGCTCTTTTGTCCCTCTTTCGGCATCCCAGCGTATCAACAGCATCATCTTTGTCAAAGCCAATCCCTCCAGTCATTACTTCAGTATTACAAAGTCCTGGCCTTCCTTAATTACCACAGAGAGAGATTCCGTAGCTCCGTCCCTCTTCCATTACAGCGAGAAAAAAAAAAAAAAAAAGGTAAAATGAAACGTTCATAATTTTAAAGAATCCTCTCTGTTCGATTCTGGTAACCAGAAGAGTCATGAGTAAAAGTGATATATAGGTCATCCACAGAACAGATGAAGCAGCTTCGTGACCCTCCAAGTTCAGGGAAGGCACCCAAAGCCTCTGGGAAATGGAGCAGAACCAGAACGGTCTCGGGGATGAGGACCAATTTGCGTCTGGCACCAGCCCAGGGTATGGGCAGAGACCCAAGGGTCTCGGGGAGCCTCTCCTCCATGCCTCGGTAGGGCTGGGTTAGGGGTCCTGCGGGCGCAGAGCGGCTACTTGGAGTCGCCCCGGGGCTCGGGGGTGTGTCCTACCTGGGCCGCGGCGGACGCAGGATCTCCGGCGAAGGACTGGAGTCCAGCTCAGGGCTCGCACCGGCAGGAGTCACCGCTCAGCAGGCTGGCCCGCCGCCGCCTGCCCATCCCCCGCCGCCCACTGCGGCGGG